TTTTTGTTCTGGACAGAGTGGCTGAACGATCGGACCCTGCAGGTGAGATGTTTCTCCTCCTTGGCAGCCTAGGGACTTATTGACTTTATATTCGATGACCTCCTCGACCTCCACCCACCGGGGCTTGCTCTCCATGACTCTGGCTTCAGCACCCTGTGCTTCAGTAACATATACGGTCGGGATGGTGGTCTTTCTGGTGGTGGGCATCCTCCTCTGCCTGGATGCAGGGGGCTCTGGGGTGGATGTCTCTGAGCGATGGGCACCAGCAAGAGTCAAGCCAGGAGACCTGTGCCTCCTCATCCGCGGGTTCTTCACCACAGTGGTTATAGTCTCCTCACTGAAGACACGGACAAAGAAAGTTATAAAGCTATAAGAAAACTCCAGGCTGCATCTGAATATTGATAGCTTTCACTTTGACTCAAAAAAAAAAACTAGAAAGAAGAGTCAGTAACTCCAGCACTCTTTCTGTCGGGATGCAAATAAGAAGCCTGTGAGAGGAGCTGTAGTAATAAAGTCACTGCTTAAAGAAGACAGCACCCTGGTGAAGACAGCCCATCCTTTCATCATCCTTGTGATAGAATTCTCTGCACTTGGGCTTTAAATACTACACAACAAAGCATCCATGGGGCCCCAAAAAGGAAACAAACACACACTTGCACACAGACAATCAGAGGAAATTGCTGAAAAGTGACTTTATGAAGCCTTGTACCATAAATAAAGTTGCCTTGCCTTGCATTTATATTTATTTATCTTTTACTGAGCAATATCATTCAACCAACCAATCAATCTTTATTTGTATAGCATCATTTCATAACAAATGTTATCTCAAGACCCTTTACAAAAGAGCAGTTAAAAGACCTTACTTTCATCCATTGATGAACTATGTCTCAAGTTAGACATGACACTTTGTTCAGTCACAATTACATTTCTTTCAGGAAGTAATGAGATGATCACATGCTGTTCAACAAGGAGACACACTTACATTATGATGGTTTTCTTTGGTATTCTCGTCTCCTGCTCAGTAACTATACAGGGTGAAGAAACAAAAATAGTAGGAGGATTAAAGCTTAAGCCTTTGTTTAGGGACACTGTTCTAAAGATCCTGAAAATGTTTGAATGTAATCAAAAGTTGCAGTTTTCTAAAGATAAGATCATTGTTCCTACCTTCGATAGTGATGGCCTGCTCACCGGTCCGAGCCACAGCAGAGGGGAGAAGTAAATCAGCTGCACACTTGGCACTTCCGAGGCGGTTGGACAACTGGAAAAAGCAGGCAAGATATTTTACAGAGACATTTTACAAGATGATTTATTGTTGACAAAGATCAAGTTATTAAGAGTTGTATAGCCCACACAGAATAAACCTCCACCCTATGAATATTCATGTAAATAACCCTTATAGAAGTTTGTGATTGAAGTTGGATTTTTTTTTTTATGTGGACCAACCTCACACTCATAGTGTCCCAGGTCTCTTTCTGTCAGGTTTTTTATCACCAAGACCAGAACCCCACTCCGGAGTTCGCTGTAGGTCTGATACTTTTCCTGGTCAGTCAGCAGCCTGCTGTCCTTGAACCACCTGGAAAAGGATACATAGAAGCAGAAAAGAGAAGAAGAATTAAACAACAGAGCAGAGGACGTTTTAAAGGAACTCCCTAACTGAAGTAAAATATTTTGTAAATTTCACTGATGTGTCCCCCTACAAACCTGATCTTGGGGCTTGGGGCGCTTTGTATGACGCAGGTAAACTGGGCGTCCTCGCCAGCAACGAATGTAGCATTCCTCATTTTATTCACAAAACGAGGAGGCACTGAAAAATAAAACAAGTCAAAACATTAATACCTGATTAAATAGGTAGGGTTTATATTTTTTGACCTCCTGGAGCGTTCTCCCGCTTACCCTGAACTGTGATCTTGCCAAGAGTGCTTGCATTGCCGGCTGAGCTTGAGGCAAAGCACATGTACTGGCCAGAATCATCTGCTGTCATGTTATCCAGGATCAGTGTGCAGGAACCATCAGGGTCCTCGATGATAATGTGATGAGGATCCGCCTCCACAGCTCGTCCGTCTGCATCCAACAAGTAAAACAATGTACTGATGAATCACAAAAAGCTTAAGATGCTGTTTGTATACAGAGAAGAGGCTTTGTCTAAGAACATGTGTCAACACTTTTTATTGTTTATTGTTTATAAAATTACTAAACATTTTCTTCATAAGCATATGATCTTAAAAACATGGATCCAATTGCATACCCTTGTACCACGTGATTGTAGGTTTTGGTACTCCAGTGGCTTTGCAGGCCAGCTTAACAGTCTGCCCCAGCTCAGCTGTGCAGTTTGCCAGAATTTCATCAAAGTCAGGAGGACCTGTAAAGGAGGTTCATCACCAAATGTTATGTTCAGAAAATCAAATACATTCTAACTGATAGAAGTGTGCATAAGATACATGGGGGAAAAAAGAGTGTGTTCCCCTCACTCCATGCAGGCATGCTGTATCGCTGCTGCAGCTCTCTGAAGTCCCTCAGCCACGAGTTCTTGATGGTAACAGTCCGGGCCTGCAGGGTATATTTCCTCACAGAGTCCTCACGTTCATGCCAGATCTCAAAGGCTCGGTCGTCACCCTCCACCGTCTCATTCACATCAATGTTATTTAACTATGAGAGGATGGGGAATACAGAAAGCACAGTTCAAGCGGCTGCTAAGAAGAGATGCCAGAAGAAAATCTTAATGTGAAAGAAGAAGGAGGAGCTACATTAAAGATCTCACCTTCATCATGTTCTTAAAGACGTATGCTTGTGTGTCAGTGTTGCTGTCTCTCTTTGGTTTGCAGATGATGCAGTAGTTCTTAAATAGGAATAGGTGGCGGTGGTGACCTCTAGAGGATGACCTGATTCCTGGAGCCCCTTCCCACACTTGGAAGGGTCCCTGGTTTCCAAAGGTGAAATAAATCAACACACTTAATCAAACAAACAACAATGCTGCAGTAATAGTGAGTGCCACAGTAACTCCATGTACCTGTCTAATTGGCTCTCCCAATACTTCCAGTGTGGCAGGGTAGTTTTCGATCATGGTCACATGGTGTGTATTCTCAGAGCGCTGAGGGAGTGAAGACACCATGGCATATGCTTCTTCCAATAGGCAGCAGCTGCTGGCTTGTTTCGAATGAGCTCCTGCACATGTCAAAGAATACATTTCAATTAAGCTGCAGCAACAGTGATACAGGTCTAAATCCTTCACATGCAAGAGATGTGTTTCCTATGAGAAATGCAAAGAATTGAACCACACAAAAGTGAATGCATATTGTTTGTCAAAGCTGTCACCTTGAGGATTGCCTTGTACTTCTGAATCCTGTCCAGTGGTTGTTGGAGGCCGGCGTTGATGCTGCGTACAGGGGGATCTGCAGGGTCTGCATTGGCTTGGACTTTATCAGTGTACTCCTACAATGGAATGAAGGTATTTATACTTACATAATTTATAGTGGTTTAGGGTCACAACACATCTTAAAGTAGGCTGGAAAAATAATTTACTAGCAAACCAGAGTTCAGCAGTTACAGTTGTGGTGTTACCTTGAAGAAGCGGTGGACAGTTTTATCACTGACAGAAGATTCAGCCAGACTCTGACCAACAAGATACTGGAGGTACTTCTCAAAGCCCTCCTTGTTCTTTAGGAAGCACATGGCCACATCATCGTCAGTGTCACAGTCGGATAGCTTTGGAAGGAATGCCCTTAAAACGATAATTGTGGGGATATTAATGCACTGAAAATCTAACAATGAATGTCACTGGTCTTTAGCATATTTAACAGAAAGGAGAGTATTCTCCAGATTTGGAAAACTGATGCCTTTACTTCCTTTTTAAAATATCTGACTAAAAGGAGAACTCACTTGCTATGGAAGGACTTGATATCATCAATGTTCCTGAATATGGTGTCCTTCTGGCTGCTGACATCAGGAGGAGCATCGGGGCTCTCTGCATGCTTCAGGTGATGGGAGGTGAAGAAGTCTATCTCTTTCACAAACTCTGATTCACTGTTTATCAGGTCTTGGATCAGTTGGCTAGGAAAGGGACATCATAGTTGGTTATGACATGCCCCGTAGTTCTCGTAATGCTTAGTCAAAATCAGAATTGGGCTTTATTGCCAAGTACATTTACACATACAAGGAATTTGACTTGGTGTTCTGATGCAAAGACAGTTAACAAGGAACTATAAAAACAGCAGAGCTGACAGCTTAAATAGGAATAAGGTACAAAATATTAAGGCTATTAGAAAATAATAATAGAATATAAAATATAAAAACACAAAACGTACAAAATGTGCAATGGACGAGCTGTGCAGGTTTGTTCAAGATTGCGTGCAGTGTAAACAGAAAATATTAAGTCCAGTGTGCGTTAATGTAACGCATAGATTCAGCCTTAACATTACAGTAATGTTCTCTGGCTGATGAGAGTCTTTGTTATGTGGGGGGGGGATCTACTTACAATAGTTTCCTCTTGTATTCTCCCTCAGTAACTTCCTCTACACTCGTCTCTGGAAGGTCACTTGTATCAGCTGAGAGCTGGAGGAAAACACATTTGGACAATTTCTTATTAAAAAAAAGTAAAAAAAAAAATAAAAAAAGTTATGTTATGTTTGCCATCTTTGGCTTTAAGACCTACTTTGAGCTTCTTGTCCAGGTAGGCAGGTGAGACCCAGCCTTGGCGGGGATGGTGTAGTTTTGGTAGGTTTTGTCCGAACTAACCATTTGAGTGGATGAGCTGAGTCCAGAACCTCCACATACTGTCCCTCCTTTAGAGAAATGGATTCTTTGCTTGCTATGGTTGGGTTGTAGTCTGCTGTCGCCACATAGATGTCGAACATCTGTAAAAGTACAAAAAAAAAAAAAGAATGTTAATGGCAGCACAAATGAACAAAATGTGGAGATCACACTAAACATTTAGGGTAATGTACAGCTGCTAACTCTTGATTTTTTTTCTTTTTTGTGAATGTAAAGTTATTGCAGATGAGATTGTAATTGTAACATTGCTGTATGTATCTCATTTGAAGTCCAACATTTTAACCAATTATCTTTCAGGAGTATTGAACATGTTTTATTTTCAGAAGTTTTAATGTAAAGACATGTTAAGCCCACTTTAAGTTGCTTTTTGGAAATTAGTTTGTAGTTCATGTTGTAGTGTAACATTAAGGTAGATGAAGACATATAACTGCACAGATATCATATTGTTTTATATGGAGCTGACCTGTCTCATTCAGACTTTATCAGAATACTGTTTAAATGATAACTGGTGGAGGGTGATAATAACAAGCCACATAAAAGTTTAAAGCAATAGAAATCTGGACAGCAAAAAATCGAACAGCGAATGTGTACATCTCACCTCTCCCCGTGCATCTCCTTCATCAGACTCAGAGGACGAGTCAGCGATGAAAAATTTAAATTAAATTGTTTGAGCTGCAAGAATCCGAGGCTTAGTATGGAACATCATATTAGCTCTTGTTGAACAATCACATCTGTGTACAACAAGTGATTTCTGATTCAACTAAGACCAAGATCACTTGCTTATTTATTGACTTCTGCTGTGGAATTGATTGGGGTTTCATTATAATTGAATCAATGTAAAGGTTTTATGTTTTAAATTGGTAACTTTTGTTGTTTTTATAAAGTAAAAATTGTAATGAATCTTAACTTATTGCTCAAGGTGATTACACAAAATAGCATAAAGTCCAACTGGCAGCTGCAGAGCTCTTAAAAAAACAACTTGTTATTCTTCTCCCCCTGGCTCGTGAAAAAGATCTCCAGCTCCTTTAATTTGCCATGTTGACGTTTGTGTGAAGCATTCAAGAGGCAACAGAGAATGACTCTTGTCATCTGCACCTGCAAAGAAAACCCTGCTGCATATTGTCTGCCCAGAGTCAAGAAGGCTCATAACGCTGTGATTTGATTCGTGGTTAAAAACAGTCACTTTCAAAAAAGATGATCTTTTAAATACTTAATTTCTTAATTTGATACATCTCATAATGTCATGTATGTTTCTGGACTACTTTCTATCCTGTCTGATACCTGACATTGATGTTAGTAACAAGAATTTGTCCAATAATTATTATGGTTAAAGTTACAGTTTTTTTTTTTTTATAATCGCTCAATAGCAAAACTTCACATTCTGTAGTTTTCAGTAACACTTTCCAGGATGCTCACAGATCACAAATCAGCTGACTCCCCGTTATCCAGCATTTTGTTTCAACTATAGAGAACACCACCCAGTTTGTAACTACTGGCTTAATGGAGGGTTTCCTCAGTTTACAATAAAAAAGATTGTTATTGTGATATCCTATCATTTTGCAAACATGTACACATCAATCGTAGAGAGCAGAATCTATTATGTGAAAACTCGGCCCTGCCCTCTTTTTTCCCCCCCTCCCTCCTGCATTAAGCAAACAACCTATTCTCACACACCCTCACTTGAATTTCCTTGTCTGCTGGAGCTCTGTGTGCACTGAGGAAACGGTAAGGAGAAACTCTACAGGCATTATTTGTTTAACAATTCCACGTATTTCTTAGAAATAGTTGGAAATGAAAAGAGAAAGACTGTTTGGAATCTATCACGGTACAGAGGAAGTTGAGATGTTGATGGAGCAGTTGTACAAAGATTCATTCTAAAAGTACTGTGTTTATAAGCTTGTGAGTGTTTGACGGCTGCATAGTAAAGTCAGCAGGTTTTTAAAGTTGTTTTTAAACTTAAAATGAGAGTTTTAAAAGCAGCATTTCCTCTCAGTCTGTTGTATTTATTTGCGCCTGTCCCTTTCACCACAAGCAGAGTAAGGGCTCTCCAATTAGTGGGTCATTTTTCCTCGGGTGTCACTATGGTAACCTCACAGCTTGCAGCTCTGTTGATTGCCTCTCCTCGGAGATGTTATCCACTCGTCATGATTAGAGAAACGCTGGCTTATCATTTTATGGTGCTCATCACACCAGAGCGTGAGTTGTGTAAACATGTTATAGCCGGCTGTGAAAGCTGGTTTCTTTTTAAAGCTGACTCATGCCGGAAGACTCTGGTGGATAATATGTGTCACCCCTCCATACGACCTCACCCACCTTCTTTTCCTTTCCTCTCTGCTCCTCCTCCCCTTCAGCTATGGCTGGACCCAGGCCTGTGGTGCTGAGCGGGCCGTCCGGGGCGGGGAAGACCACGCTGAAGAAGCTCTTGAAAGAACACGACAGTGTGTTTGGCTTCAGCGTCTCCTGTAAGTGTGCCGCACCATGTCAGAGCATTTCACATTCATCCTTTTTCAATCTGAGGATCATAAAGAAGATGTAGCTGTATACATTTTACATTTCATATAGAGCTGCAACTACTGATGTCCTATTGTTTTATTATTCTCTTTGGTAAGAAGTCAAACTGTGAAATGTCCAGAAGTAAAAAGTAAAATACCTTAAAACTAAAAAAAATAAACAAATTGAAATCTTCATGAAAACCTTTAACTACATCACAATGATATGAAACAGGAAAAACACCAACCATAGAGACATAATTGCTTCTCTTGGAGCCATTTGTTTCTGACATTTATGACACAGATGTCTCTTTTTTTTTTACTCCTCAGACACAACAAGAAATCCTCGTCCTGGAGAAGTGAATGGCAAAGGTACAACATTCTCCTCTTTTTCAACCACTGTAACCCTTAATCAAATTATATTTGTCCGTGGCACCACAGCTTTCTTAATCCTTATGCTGATGTTTTTCAGATTATCATTTTGTCACACGAGAGGCGATGCAGACGGGGATAGAAAACGGAGACTTCATTGAGCACACAGAGTTTGCAGGGAACATGTACGGGACGAGTAAAGCGGCTGTGCAAGACGTCCAGGCCAAGAACCTCATCTGTATACTTGTGACTGACATGCAGGGTGTGAGGAGCATTAAAAGGACCGACCTCAATCCCATCTACATCTCTATCCAGCCGCCATCCAGGGAGGTCCTGGTAAGCACAGCCAGATATACACTGCATTACATCACCAAACCGCACTGCACTCCTGTGTCACTGCCAGAGAGGAGTTCCTGGGTGTCACCTCAACTTTTCTTTGATCCACAGGCACCTGGTAATACAGGTTTTAATTGTTGCTTTAAATATCCAAGTAGGCAGCCCAGGTTCAAGTCTTACCTGTCGCTCCTTTATCACATGTCATTCCCCACTCTATCCACTGTCCTATCAAATAAGGCAAAAATCCCCACAAATAAATCTTAAAAAATATATATGTGTATACATTTCTGAACGCCCTCTGTTAAATGAGCACTTTGTCGATTTGTGTCGTTTCAGGAACACCGTTTAAGAGACAGAAAAACGGAGTCAGAGGAGAGCCTCCAGAAGCGTTTACATGCAGCCAAGTGGATATGGAGATTAGTAAGTATCTATTCTTTGTCTGCATAAAATGTAATAAAAACGAGCTTTTTAAAAACATAAATCTAAACATAATTCTATCTTCTCTCTCCTTCTAGGTAAAGAGCAAGGATTATTTGATACAGTAATTGTCAATGATATTTGGAGGAAGCTCATGGCAGTTAAAGGCATTTCTTCTTGAGGTGAGTTACTGGTGCAGCACTCACACCTTAACTTGAAATGATCAAAACAAAACAAATGCTACAAGTTGAGCATCAACAAACAGGCTTTATAACATTTGCACAGAAGGCTTCACAGGCTTTTGATTTATGGGAAATTTAAACGAGCCAGTTTAAAGCTAAAACCAAATACTAAACTCAAAGATGAATTAAATCATTTTAAGTGTTAGCATGCCAGGCTAATCAGCTTGATAGCTATGTTAGTAACCCAGCCTTTCTTCTAAGATATTTGAAGTCAGCTTTTAGCTTGAGTATTAGGAGTTACAAGTCCAACATTAAAAAGCCATCTCGCCAAACTTGCTCTTCTTGCACGGTGGAGGCATTCAAGCCAGAGACAGTATTGAACCTGTGCACACTGCTATCTCTTCAGCAAGAGTTGCATGGTCTTGTTCCACATTTTTTTTTATAAATTGTTGTAGATTTGTCTGTTTTTCAAACATTACCTGTGTAGTCATACATTTTTTCTTCTTCTAGGAAATACAAAAGGTCAAGAAAACCAACATGTCTTCGTAGGATACCGCAGCATCCTTGCACCTTTTTAGTCCAGTCGATCCACTCCTCACAAAATCACAGACCTCCTCTCAAGTCGAGAACATTCCCTCCGCTGGTCTGTGAAGCTCAGATGTCCCTTTGACATGGTATTCAGGAAAAGTTATTACCAAATGATATGTAAAGTGGAACATTTTTTTTTTTATTATCAACAGGAAGCATTTCCATGTTTTTGTTTTTATTTGTATGACGAAAATATACTCCAACAATGCTTACTTGTAAAGTGTGGGGCTTTGTTTTCAGTGTGTTTGAGGGCAGAGTCGACCGATAAACAACACAAGCGGAGAAACAAAACTCATTCCATTATGTGGACAAACCGGTCTTATCAAGGGTGGGGCAAAGTACAATTCTGGATATCTTGATTAGAGAGAGTTAGTTATGCTACCTCTCATTTGAGGTCTTTCTTTTTCTACAACCCGTCACATCATGGTGATACAGATGTGCAGTGTGATGAATAAATCACAGACTCAGTCAGGGTTTGATCTCAGGCCCCTGCACATGATTAGTTCAGGGGGGGAAACTCCAGCTCTACAACTGATTTCTGAAAATATGGTGGCTGTTTTACTTTCATAAGGTTCATGTAGTATAACTTTACTGATTAAATCAACTATTCCAGTATATCTTCTACAGGTTGTTGTAATTTTTAGGGTTTGTGCTTGCTAAACTCCATGTAAGTGTTTAAAGTTGTGCTTCAGTAGGATTAAATCCCAGGGTAGAGGTCGAAACAGTTGCTTCAAACAAACCAAGGACACCATATGTCATGAGGATAACCGCTCTAAAATAACAGATGAAATGTTTACTTGGAAGTTGTACTTTTTTTTTATTGTCACTCTATCATGTTGTTGCTTCACCTGTACAGTAAAATGACACTTTTTTGACTTTGAAGGAAAATTAAACACTTTTTATTCTCAGAATGAAACACACCCACGTGTCCTTTAAGATGTCTGAGTAAGTTCTCAGTCATCCAGGTCATGGTCATTTGAAAGCTTGATCCAAAGGAAACTGGACTTGTTAAAGATCTTGACCAGCCCAGTTGCCTTTGGATCAAGCTTCGAAGTCCTTTAGACTTTCTGTAATTTGTTATGTTTTGCCATTAACAACTTTCTCTCAAACACAGTGAAAGCATACTTAATTATTTTTAGACACTTTTGTAGTACCAGTCCTTTGCAGAACGGTTTCTGTTATTTAAATTGTCAACCTAAATACATTTATAATGTGTAACTGTTACATTATAGACATTTAGATGCATGAAGTCATCTGATTTGATTTGTACCATGTAACCGGCCCTTACTAGAACGTGTTTTGTGAAAAAATGTCATTGTGTATGTCTAATCCATAAAACCTCCAACAGTACCACCGTTATTTCTGTTAACATTGAAATACATTTGTCACAGTACAATAGTGGAAGAAGACTGTGCCGTATGTGTTCTATAAATAAGAAGTGGTGAAAGAAACTGGCTCCACTTATTTTTTGCAGTACATTTATTTGATTCAGATTTAACACTGAGTACTTATACACATTTCCAAAAACAACACATGTACAGTAAAAGCAGTTACAATGTGTTAGTGCTTACATGTTTCATACTTGATATGATTCTTGTAACTAACAGACTCTGTAAAACAACACAAACTCCAACAAAGGGCACTTATTCATACGCTTCTTATTCAACTGCATTGAAAAGGTAGTACGGTACATTGTGTCAGCTCGAGTACAGTCACACGCACAAATATTTATTTGCGGTTAAATACGATATAAATCTGGTTACTCTGGATAAACAACTCTGCTTTGGAGAAGCAAACACATGCAATCACTCATCTAAACATCTATCACTTACATGTAAATCTATCTGTGAGATTCTGTAAATTCACTGCATAAGCAGACAGTAACGTCAAAGACAAGCAAACATTCACTTCACAATCGATGGAGGATATTTTGCTTCACAACAATAAATCATGTTAATGCATCGCGTAGCGTTATTTGATGTGAAAATGGTTTCCATTTCTACTACTACTACTTTTTTTTCACAAGCTGCTCAAACCATCTTTCACAACAAACCAAGTGACACCAGAAGTAGAGTCTTATTTTGTGGAACTCTTGAAACTCTTGAAATTGAATTCAAAATCATAAGTAGAGATTGTCGATCAGTACGACAGACTGCATATGTCATAAACCTGTTACTTGTTGGGGCTTAATTTGCCTACAGTGAGAAAGTTTAAACTACATTACCTACTAGCCTTGTTTGCAAAGACCACCTGACTGATCAAGAAAAGACTCAGAGGAAGTTCTCTGATGTGCAGCTTCAAAAGGGAATGGTCTGTCAGATGTAGTAACTACACGTCAGGTTAGGATATGTGTTATTCTTCTAAGCAGAGACGTCCCTATTTAAGACTAAAAGGGTTTGTGGTGTCAAACTGAAATATTTAGCTACTATTTCTTTTGACCTATCTGAATATTGACAGAGTTTCCCACCGATGTGTAGCCGTAGGTCTGAGTAAAGCTTTGCTTCCCCCCTTCGACTCTCTGCACCTCTGAGCAATATGAAGGCTTCACCTCCATCTTGGCGTGGCTCACCTGGATGGGGACATGCCTTTCCACCCTGGACTGGACTCCGCTGGCTTGTGGGGCTAAGTAAAAAGTAAAATACCTTAAAACTAAAAAAAAAAAAACAATTTGAAATCTTCATGAAAACCTTTAACTACATCACAATGATATGAAACAGGAAAAACACCAACCATAGAGACATAATTGCTTCTCTTGGAGCCATTTGTTTCTGACATTTATGACACAGATGTCTCTTTTTTTTTTACTCCTCAGACACAACAAGAAATCCTCGTCCTGGAGAAGTGAATGGCAAAGGTACAACATTCTCCTCTTTTTCAACCACTGTAACCCTTAATCAAATTATATTTGTCCGTGGCACCACAGCTTTCTTAATCCTTATGCTGATGTTTTTCAGAATATCATTTTGTCACACGAGAGGCGATGCAGACAAGGATAGAAAACGGAGACTTCATTGAGCACACAGAGTTTTCAGGGAACATGTACGGGACGAGTAAAGAGGCTTTTCAAGACGTCCAGGCCAAGAACCTCATCTGTATACTTGACATTGACATGCAGGGTGTGAGGAGCATTAAAAGGACCGACCTCAATCCCATCTACATCTCTATCCAGCCGCCATCCATGGAGGTCCTGGTAAGCACAGCCAGATATACACTGCATTACATCACCAAACCGCACTGCACTCCTGTGTCACTGCCAGAGAGGAGTTCCTGGGTGTCACCTCAACTTTTCTTTGATCCACAGGCACCTGGTAATACAGGTTTTAATTGTTGCTTTAAATATCCAAGTAGGCAGCCCAGGTTCAAGTCTTACCTGTCGCTCCTTTATCACATGTCATTCCCCACTCTATCCACTGTCCTATCAAATAAGGCAAAAATCCCCACAAATAAATCTTAAAAAATATATATGTGTATACATTTCTGAACGCCCTCTGTTAAATGAGCACTTTGTCGATTTGTGTCGTTTCAGGAACACCGTTTAATAGACAGAAAAACGGAGTCAGAGGAGAGCCTCCAGAAGCGTTTACGTGCAGCCAGAGTGGATATGGAGATTAGTAAGTATCTATTCTTTGTCTGCATAAAATGTAATAAAAACGAGCTTTTTAAAAACATAAATCTAAACATAATTCTATCTTCTCTCTCCTTCTAGGTAAAGAGCAAGGATTATTTGATACAGTAATTGTCAATGATAGTTTGGAGGAAGCTCATGGGCAGTTAAAGGCAGTTCTTCTTGAGGTGAGTTACTGGTGCAGCACTCACACCTTAACTTGAAATGATCAAAACAAAACAAATGCTACAAGTTGAGCATCAACAAACAGGCTTTATAACATTTGCACAGAAGGCTTCACAGGCTTTTGATTTATGGGAAATTTAAACGAGCCAGTTTAAAGCTAAAACCAAATACTAAACTCAAAGATGAATTAAATCATTTTAAGTGTTAGCATGCCAGGCTAATCAGCTTGATAGCTATGTTAGTAACCCAGCCTTTCTTCTAAGATATTTGAAGTCAGCTTTTAGCTTGAGTATTAGGAGTTACAAGTCCAACATTAAAAAGCCATCTCGCCAAACTTGCTCTTCTTGCACGGTGGAGGCATTCAAGCCAGAGACAGTATTGAACCTGTGCACACTGCTATCTCTTCAGCAAGAGTTGCATGGTCTTGTTCCACATTTTTTTTTATAAATTGTTGTAGATTTGTCTGTTTTTCAAACATTACCTGTGTAGTCATACATTTTTTCTTCTTCTAGGAAATACAAAAGGTCAAGAAAACCAACATGTCTTCGTAGGATACCGCAGCATCCTTGCACCTTTTTAGTCCAGTCGATCCACTCCTCACAAAATCACAGACCTCCTCTCAAGTCGAGAACATTCCCTCCGCTGGTCTGTGAAGCTCAGATGTCCCTTTGACATGGTATTCAGGAAAAGTTATTACCAAATGATATGTAAAGTGGAACATTTTTTTTTTATTATCAACAGGAAGCATTTCCATGTTTTTGTTTTTATTTGTATGACGAAAATATACTCCAACAATGCTTACTTGTAAAGTGTGGGGCTTTGTTTTCAGTGTGTTTGAGGGCAGAGTCGACCGATAAACAACACAAGCGGAGAAACAAAACTCATTCCATTATGTGGACAAACCGGTCTTATCAAGGGTGGGGCAAAGTACAATTCTGGATATCTTGATTAGAGAGAGTTAGTTATGCTACCTCTCATTTGAGGTCTTTCTTTTTCTACAACCCGTCACATCATGGTGATACAGATGTGCAGTGTGATGAATAAATCACAGACTCAGTCAGGGTTTGATCTCAGGCCCCTGCACATGATTAGTTCAGGGGGGAAACTCCAGCTCTACAACTGATTTCTGAAAATATGGTGGCTGTTTTACTTTCATAAGGTTCATGTAGTATAACTTTACTGATTAAATCAACTATTCCAGTATATCTTCTTACAGGTTGTTGTACATTTTTAGGGTTTGTGCTTGCTAAACTCCATGTAAGTGTTTAAAGTTGTGCTTCAGTAGGATTAAATCCCAGGGTAGAGGTCGAAACAGTTGCTTCAAACAAACCAAGGACACCATATGTCATGAGGATAACCGCTCTAAAATAACAGATGAAATGTTTACTTGGAAGTTGTACATTTTTTTTTATTGTCACTCTATCATGTTGTTGCTTCACCTGTACAGTAAAATGACACTTTTTTGACTTTGAAGGAAAATTAAACACTTTTTATTCTCAGAATGAAACACACCCACGTGTCCTTTAAGATGTCTGAGTAAGTTCTCAGTCATCCAGGTCATGGTCATTTGAAAGCTTGATCCAAAGGAAACTGGACTTGTTAAAGATCTTGACCAGCCCAGTTGCCTTTGGATCAAGCTTCGAAGTCCTTTAGACTTTCTGTAATTTGTTATGTTTTGCCATTAACAACTTTCTCTCAAACACAGTGAAAGCATACTTAATTATTTTTAGACACTTTTGTAGTACCAGTCCTTTGCAGAACGGTTTCTGTTATTTAAATTGTCAACCTAAATACATTTATAATGTGTAACTGTTACATTATAGACATTTAGATGCATGAAGTCATCTGATTTGATTTGTACCATGTAACCGGCCCTTACTAGAACGTGTTTTGTGAAAAAATGTCATTGTGTATGTCTAATCCATAAAACCTCCAACAGTACCACCGTTATTTCTGTTAACATTGAAATACATTTGTCACAGTACAATAGTGGAAGAAGACTGTGCCGTATGTGTTCTATAAATAAGAAGTGGTGAAAGAAACTGGCTCCACTTATTTTTTGCAGTACATTTATTTGATTCAGATTTAACACTGAGTACTTATACACATTTCCAAAAACTACACATGTACAGTAAAAGCAGTTACAATGTGTTAGTGCTTACATGTTTCATACTTGATATGATTCTTGTAACTAACAGACTCTGTAAAACAACACAAACTCCAACAAAGGGCACTTATTCATACGCTTCTTATTCAACTGCATTGAAAAGGTAGTACGGTACATTGTGTCAGCTCGAGTACAGTCACACGCACAAATATTTATTTGCGGTTAAATACGATATAAATCTGGTTACTCTGGATAAACAAATCTGCTTTGGAGAAGCAAACACATGCAATCACTCATCTAAACATCTATCACTTACATGTAAATCTATCTGTGAGATTCTGTAAATTCACTGCATAAGCAGACAGTAACGTCAAAGACAAGCAAACATTCACTTCACAATCGATGGAGGATATTTTGCTTCACAACAATAAATCATGTTAATGCATCGCGTAGCGTTATTTGATGTGAAAATGGTTTCCATTTCTACTACTACTACTTTTTTTTCACAAGCTGCTCAAACCATCTTTCACAACAAACCAAGTGACACCAGAAGTAGAGTCTTATTTTGTGGAAGGTACTCTAATTACACCATACACCTTGAATAAACTTGTAACAGTCCAAGGACCACAGTGGTCTCCAAAGGTCTGTTGTGAATGTGACATTATCAGTGTTGCACACTTCATTTAACTCTTAACAAGTAGACATGATTTCTTTAACTGCATTGATGCTCCTGTTAACCAAGGCACTGCATCAGTGTCGTAGGCAACATTTTTTGAAAGGTATAAAAGTAAAAGCATTAAATGTATGTACCTTAATACAGTACATGACCAATGCTGAACGATTCATCACTAAATCTAACACCTGGATCAATTCATATCCTCAGATCACGGTGTATGCTTTGGTAAGAGTATGTAAAAAAAAAAAAAAACTCTTGAAATTGAATTCAAAATCATAAGTAGAGATTGTCGATCAGTACGACAGACTGCATATGTCATAAACCTGTTACTTGTTGGGGCTTAATTTGCCTACAGTGAGAAAGTTTAAACTACATTACCTACTAGCCTTGTTTGCAAAGACCACCTGACTGATCAAGAAAAGACTCAGAGGAAGTTCTCTGATGTGCAGCTTCAAAAGGGAATGGTCTGTCAGATGTAGTAACTACACGTCAGGTTAGGATATGTGTTATTCTTCTAAGCAGAGACGTCCCTATTTAAGACTAAAAGGGTTTGTGGTGTCAAACTGAAATATTTAGCTACTATTTCTTTTGACCTATCTGAATATTGACAGAGTTTCCCACCGATGTGTAGCCGTAGGTCTGAGTCGACACTTTGGTTTTAAAGCTTTGCTTCCCCCCTTCGACTCTCTGCACCTCTGAGCAATATGAAGGCTTCACCTCCATCTTGGCGTGGCTCACCTGGATGGGGACATGCCTTTCCACCCTGGACTGGACTCCGCTGGCTTGTGGGGCTAAGTAAAAAGTAAAATACCTTAAAACTAAAAAAAAAAAAAACAATTTGAAATCTTCATGAAAACCTTTAACTACATCACAATGATATGAAACAGGAAAAACACCAACCATAGAGACATAATTGCTTCTCTTGGAGCCATTTGTTTCTGACATTTATGACACAGATGTCTCTTTTTTTTTTACTCCTCAGACACAACAAGAAATCCTCGTCCTGGAGAAGTGAATGGCAAAGGTACAACATTCTCCTCTTTTTCAACCACTGTAACCCTTAATCAAATTATATTTGTCCGTGGCACCACAGCTTTCTTAATCCTTATGCTGATGTTTTTCAGAATATCATTTTGTCACACGAGAGGCGATGCAGACAAGGATAGAAAACGGAGACTTCATTGAGCACACAGAGTTTTCAGGGAACATGTACGGGACGAGTAAAGAGGCTTTTCAAGACGTCCAGGCCAAGAACCTCATCTGTATACTTGACATTGACATGCAGGGTGTGAGGAGCATTAAAAGGACCGACCTCAATCCCATCTACATCTCTATCCAGCCGCCATCCATGGAGGTCCTGGTAAGCACAGCCAGATATACACTGCATTACATCACCAAACCGCACTGCACTCCTGTGTCACTGCCAGAGAGGAGTTCCTGGGTGTCACCTCAACTTTTCTTTGATCCACAGGCACCTGGTAATACAGGTTTTAATTGTTGCTTTAAATATCCAAGTAGGCAGCCCAGGTTCAAGTCTTACCTGTCGCTCCTTTATCACATGTCATTCCCCACTCTATCCACTGTCCTATCAAATAAGGCAAAAATCCCCACAAATAAATCTTAAAAAATATATATGTGTATACATTTCTGAACGCCCTCTGTTAAATGAGCACTTTGTCGATTTGTGTCGTTTCAGGAACACCGTTTAATAGACAGAAAAACGGAGTCAGAGGAGAGCCTCCAGAAGCGTTTACGTGCAGCCAGAGTGGATATGGAGATTAGTAAGTATCTATTCTTTGTCTGCATAAAATGTAATAAAAACGAGCTTTTTAAAAACATAAATCTAAACATAATTCTATCTTCTCTCTCCTTCTAGGTAAAGAGCAAGGATTATTTGATACAGTAATTGTCAATGATAGTTTGGAGGAAGCTCATGGGCAGTTAAAGGCAGTTCTTCTTGAGGTGAGTTACTGGTGCAGCACTCACACCTTAACTTGAAATGATCAAAACAAAACAAATGCTACAAGTTGAGCATCAACAAACAGGCTTTATAACATTTGCACAGAAGGCTTCACAGGCTTTTGATTTATGGGAAATTTAAACGAGCCAGTTTAAAGCTAAAACCAAATACTAAACTCAAAGATGAATTAAATCATTTTAAGTGTTAGCATGCCAGGCTAATCAGCTTGATAGCTATGTTAGTAACCCAGCCTTTCTTCTAAGATATTTGAAGTCAGCTTTTAGCTTGAGTATTAGGAGTTACAAGTCCAACATTAAAAAGCCATCTCGCCAAACTTGCTCTTCTTGCACGGTGGAGGCATTCAAGCCAGAGACAGTATTGAACCTGTGCACACTGCTATCTCTTCAGCAAGAGTTGCATGGTCTTGTTCCACATTTTTTTTTATAAATTGTTGTAGATTTGTCTGTTTTTCAAACATTACCTGTGTAGTCATACATTTTTTCTCTTCTAGGAAATA